TTCGAACATGGTGTTTGTGATGGGCAAACTATGACTAACACAGAAGTCCAACAACAAAACACTACTTGGGTTCAGATCAGAAAAGTTGTTCCTCCCAATCACGCTCCTCCAGGTCACACTTGGGTATTGAAGTCCCCCAGCAGAGTAAAGGAGTCCCCAGCTGGCGCACCTGCCAACACCCCTGCCAAGAACTCCAAGAAGGCCAGATACTCTGAGCTACCATTTGTCGCATCAGCACAAACAACCGCCAGAGCCCGTCCACCCACCTGAAGATGCAAGGAAGCTACCCTCTCATCAACCGGAGAAAACTCCAATACACAGGCAGCAAGTCGGAAAGTGAAAAAGTATACACACACCAGCTCCATGCCTCTCATCATGGGCAACTCCAGAGTAGAATTAGGTCCAGCCCCTTTGAAGGAGATTGGTTCCAGATCCAATGCTGTGTGTCGAGGTGAGCCCAACTATATCTAGTCGGTATCTCTCTCAACCTCACACACAAGCTCAGGTTCCTTCCCCATCAGAGAGGTTATGTTACCTGTCCCTAGAGCCAGCTTTGGTAAGCCAGGGTCAGAACACCAAGGCCCCTGCCTTTGGCTACTGCCCATGGCATCATGCACCTGACTTGTATGGCAACTCCTGCAGGCGGTGGGCCCACAGGAAGGAAAACCCATGTTGCTCATTCAGGCTGAGCACAACCGAGTCTCATGGGTGGAAACTCGGTCACTAGGCACTTGCCAATGAGCCCCTTCCTCAGGCCTGGCTACAGTGTGGTACCTCGGTAACCCATGTCTGGGCATGACACACTGGAGTAATTTCAATTAGCACAATATTTGTAGTAGTACTGTTGTTATCAGTACTTCAGTACAACATAATAATATTTGGTTCCTTTAGTTGTACTGTAGTGACCTTCGGTAGTTCCATTGTAATCTGTATTTACCTTTCTGTCCCTTTGGTCCCTCACATCCCTGAGCCCCATCTTGTCCACTGTGGCCCCTCTTTCCAGTCTTGCCTTGGTCTCCAGGGCATCCCATGTTCCCTGAAGCTCCTGGACTTCCTTCTTGGCCCTGGGGCCCAATCAAACCTAAAAAAAAAAAAAAAATAAATAAATAAATATATATAAATAAAAAAATAAATAAATATATATAAATAAATAAATAAATAAATATATATATATATATATATAAATAAATA